TGCAGAGATGGTGAGCAGACCCAGCACCCAGCCGGCGGGTCACCCCTCAGCACTGCTGTGCCACATCCTCCTGGGACCTTCAGGACCTGGCCTCACACCACGGAGAAAGCTTGGGACCTGTGACAGTGTTCTCAGACGTGGGTGGCCTGAGCTCCCGGGCCCAGGAGCCAGGTGCAGAACCTGCTGCACAGGACGCAGCAGAGGACGTGGGGGAAATGTGCACATACGTGTCAAGGCTGGTAGGTGGAACCTGCAGATTCCAATGCTGAGACCCTCACCCCAGGATGCAACCAAATACCATGACCTCAAAGAAGGCAGTCGTCATGGGAGCAGGGGTCTTTCCGGGAGGGAGGCTGCTGCTCAGAAACTCCAAGCAGGCCCACAGGGACATGGCAGGTCACCTGGAGAGGGGCCAGTGCAGTGTGGCTTTCCTGAGCCTGGGGGGAGGCCTGGTGGGGAGGGGGCTGCAGGGCACTAACAGTCAGGTGGGGGGGATCAATAGGGGACAATCTACCCTTGGCTCCTAGAGGCCAAAGGGCAGCTGGACTGGACACAGAAGCCATGCAGAAGAACCACACCCTCCAAAGTGGGAACTTGAAAGACCCAGCAGGACCTCTCTATGGCGGAGCAGGCACGGCACACATCTGAGGGCCCTCGCGGGTTCCCTTCTCCACCTGAGGCCCTGGAGGAGGCTGGACTTTCCATGTGGGTGCAGGCTGCAAGATGAAATGGCCCTCTGTGTTCGGGAAGAGCACACTGGTGTGGAAAACTTGTGGTCACTTTCTCCTTGGGTGACCTGCACAGAACCACAGAGGGGGCCTTGTGTCTGTGCTCGAAGTCATTTAAACCCCTGCCCAGGGGACGTGCCTGGGCATGCACTGGGGGTAGGTCCATCTTGACGGTGCTCTGAAGTCACAGGTGAGATCTGTGAGCCCAGGACTCAGCAAACAGCTCTGGGCAGTCTGCAAGTGGAGGACAGCAGGACGCTGGGAGACCTCCGCTCTCTTTCCTACAGTCGCCTTTTCACTCAGAGCTCTCCAAAATGAGCTTCCAGTCTCACGTACAGACGACCATCGAATACAGGCAGCATTTCTAAGGCAAAGATTAGAAAAAAAAAAAGTGTTTTCATGTTTTTCTAGAAATGCTTTCTGGTCTCCTTGTAAAGTTTCTAGAGCTACCAACAGATCTATGTGGGAGGCTATTTTACTCTCCGACGACTGCTATGGCAAAGTAAGAGGTCCACCTTGAGGGAATCACTCGGTGGCTGGAAGGGAACTTCCTGATGTGCGGGACTCCTGAGGGGCGAGGGAACCTGACTTGGCCGCTGTGACCTTGGCTGGCTTCCAACCTTGGCTCCTGATGGCCAGTCACCAGCTCTGTGATGGACAGGGTACCTGATCCTCTACGACACCACATTATAAAACACTAATGATTTTAATAAAAACCTGTTAAGCCTCATGAAACTGTCACGAGCAGCTTCTCAGCCTTGTCTGGTTACCAGGAGTTCCCTTCCGGATATCTGCACTGGACCCCGGACCGCGACGTACGCGAACACCAAGCACGAACTCGATTGCCTTTTGAAATGCTGGTTTATTCGCACACCACACAAAGCAATACACGAGGTGACTGGCTCACACTGCACGATCTTACTCTCAGGCGATGAGAGTTGATTGTGAGCAAATACATGGAGTTTCCCTCGCGCTTATATACTCTATATGTTTACAACAAACTTGTTTGTGTCTAACTTATCTAACATAAGCACACTACCTAGTTACATCATCAACTTATCTAACATGGGCATACTATCTAGTCATCCTATAACCAAAAACATGTTTACAACTAAAAAGTCACTTAGTCACTGCAAAGTCCAAAACAAGTCCAAAACAAGTCCTTTTGCTGATTCATGTTGTTTGTTCATCCTTGATGTTTACTCCTGTCAGAAACTAAAGCAGGTTTTAAAACTATTTTAAACATTCACCAGCCCTCCATATACCTGGGTTCTATGTCCACAGATTCAACAAACCACAGGTAGAAAATATTCAAAAAGAAAATTCCAGAAAGTTCAAAAACCAAACCTTGAAGTGGCCTCACACTGAGCACTCTGCTCGATCCAGGCACATGCGGTGGCAGGTAACACATGTCCTCTGCCACTCCCACAGCATGAGCGGGCTTCGCCTCCGAAGACAGCAGCGTCATGTTGGGGACTGTCCGTGATCTAGAGGTGACAAAGAGCATGGAGGGTGTGCCTGGCTTCCCCGCAGGAACACACCATGGTTGCAGGACCCTGGGGTCCGGCACCAGGGATGACTGGGCTGGGTAACAGAGGCCAGAGGCCTGGGCTCCCTGGTCACGCCTTGGCAACTGTGGACTTGGAGGGAAGGGCGGGAGTTCTGGAGCATGGGGCGCTGCATCCGTGGCCCTCGGGTTCTGCCTCCTCACCGCGAGGGCTGTAGACCCACTTTGGTGGGTTGGTCCGAGGGGTAAATGGCTCACTGCAGTATCAGCAGACGTTGACCACGTGAGTCGTGTTTAACAGGAAACTGGTATTAGGTCCCTACAATGGCACCCTTTGAGGGGCACACCCAACTTTGAAACAGAATCACTGAACATTAGAACTCGTATTTGAAACACAGAATCACAAGATATGTGGATCCTCCCTTGATGCCACCCACTGGCCACCAACAGCGTGGCAATCGGAGCTGAGGCCACCAATTCCAGCGCCAGACACCAGTTGAAAATAGTACATCGGGACCAGCAGGATGTGAGTCCAGGGTTTTCTCCATCCCGCCTGCTGGAGGCGGTGGCAGGTGACACACATCCTCTGCACTGAGAACGTTGGAGTGGTGAGATGGTGGCCCAATGGGCAGGGGAGGTCAACCTGGAGAAGATAAGGAACCTGTGCCACCAGTAGAGACGAAAGCATGGGATCAGAGACCTTGAGGGAACGCGGGGGCAGGTTTGCACGTCTGCAAAGACAGAGCGAGCAGGTCGGGAGCCTTCGTGGCTCAAGGCCACCCCTGACCCACACCACCCTGCCCTGCGGCTCTCCTGCGTCCATGCAGCGCTGCCCCACCGCTCAGGCAGTCTCTTCAAGCGGTGCCCTGCCAACACGTGTTCAGGGAGCACACGTGCAAAGAAAGCAGGCCTGGTCATGGGCAGGGCCACCGGGAGTCTGCCTGTCCAAGTCAGAGCCCCCGACATTCCTCTGCTCCAGGGAACCCTGATGGTGGAGGCCAGCCCTGCTCACCTGTCCTCAGGTGGCCTGGGGGATCCAAGGAGGAGGGCAGGGTCAGCCCTGCTGGTGACACCCAGGCCTGCTGTGGAGCTGCGGTCCCCACAGTGCTGGGCCTGTGTCAGCGGGACGCCCTGAAGTCCGCACCTGCTCCCACGCCCAGGGCCAGGCAGCTCACAGCTCGGCTCTCCCCTGCACAGCCCTCCCGCACATGCTCCCCACTCTGTTCTTGGGGGCAGGGGGTAGAAGGTGGAGCATGCTATGTACATTATTTTAAAGCAAAAAATTATTTTTGTTAGGAAGAATGAATTTATATTTATAACTAATAGGCTTCACTTAATTTGAATTTATAGAGTTCGATTTTTTTTTCTCTGATATCCTATTTTTAAAGTAAATAAAAGAGCTGGGCACAGTGGCTCATGCCTGTAATCCAGTGACTTGGGAGGCTGAGACAGGAGGATTGCAAGTTCAAGAACAAACTCAGCAACATAGCAAGGCCCTGTCTCAAAATAAAAATAAAAAGGATGTGGTTCAGTAATAAAGCACCTGGGTTAAAATCCTCAGTACCAAAAACTAAAGAGAACACAAATTACACTAAGACTTAATTTGGGGGGGGGGGAAGGACACACTTTAGCACCCATTGATGAAGTCAGAGTTACTCACCTAGAATTTATGTGCATTTTTATATACAGGCCACTGCATATTCCATCATGATCCAAAACAGGGATGATTAGACACTTGATATTCCATCATGATCCAAAACAGGGATGATTAGACAGGCAGGGATGATTAGAAGATGATTACAGATTTCTGTCCACAGTCCTCCACTGTTTTACAAAATAAAATGAAGTGTATGCACTATGGAAAAATTATAGGTAAAACCTGAAAGGAAAGAGATCAAATTGGACAAAAATTTGAACGAGGTTTGGCTTTCTATCTGCTAAAGGTCCTCAAGATCTTCCCACACTTTTAACGTTTTACAAAATGTCCAGAAGGAGGACCAAAGGGTATTTATTTATTTATTTATAGTATGGGGGATTGAACTCAGGGGCACTTAACCACTGAGTCGCATCCCCAGCCCTTTTGTGTATTTTATTTAGAGACGGGCTCACAGAGTTGCTTAGCACCTCACTAAGTTGCTGAAGCTGGCTTTGAACTTGCCATCCTCCTGCCTCAGCCTCCTGAGCCACTGGGATTATAGGTGTGAACCTCCGTGCCCAACCAGAATGTATTTGTTTTTAAGGGAACTTGGAAGGCAGTGGTCATTGTGGTAATACAATGGATGGATTCTTCGGTCTACTCTTTTGGCACACATTGCATGATATGCTGACCTTTAGCATAACTTAAAACTGAAGTGTTAACCGAAGTTATTATTTTTTTATTTTTTCAAGTAATGTAAAGTTGCCAAAAAGCTAACGTGATTTTTATGAGGCTCTCAGCACTCTTGGCTTAAATTCAGGAGCTGAGTTTGCTGTTTTGCTATACGAATAATAAGTGCTTCATCACTTTTTTTATTTTAATGTAAAATGATCCTAATTTCACCACCTGGCCATAAAAAGTCAGGTTTCAAAGCAATTTCATAAATAGCCTCCCCTATTACTTTTGATGAAATTCACGTTTCTGGATGTGAATCTCAGAATATTTGCGTGCGGCAATGTTATCCATCAAAAGACAAACATCCTGGTGGAAACGTACACAGCTCCCGAGCTCCCTGCCCGCCCTCCCTGGATCTCACTGGTCACCTTCTCTCCTTTCTCTTTTCTTATAGCCAGAGCTACCTGCAAGCTGCAAGTGAGGTGCCTGTCGGTCACAGCCTGGACCCCTCTGCCAACTACAACTCCCCGAAATTCCGCTCAAGGAACCAGAGCTACATGCGGGCCGTGAGCACCCTGAGCCAGGCCAGCTGCGTGAGCCAGGTGGGAACTCTGTGTGTCCTGCTGGGTCCCTGCCTCCTGCCGGGGAGGTGATGGCCAGCATCCCTGGTCAGCGTCTCACGTGCAGACTGTGCGGGTGCTGCCTGGCATTAGCTTTGACTGAATGAATGAACTTTAAGATTAATTTTTCTGACCTTTAGGACTCTGTCCCCTTTACATTGATTAGCTCTGAATAAGCAATGACCAGTAGACAACCCCTGGTCTCCTGATGACTGAATGCCTAAGTCTTCCCTTCCCCAAAAAAAAAAAAATGGGACCGGAGACTGGCTCTGCCATAGGCTTCCTTCAGGTTGAACCCGGGAGATACAGTAAGAAGAGCCACAGGCATGAGGAATTGGCACACAGGAGAGTGCCTGCCTTCCCAGAGGCAAAGCACCTCCCACACCAGAAAGAGAACACACCATAAGAAAAAGAGGAGGGAACACAGAGGGGTGCTTGGTGCCATCAGAGATCCCTGTCAGGCCCACACCCAGGCAGGAATCTCTCCTAGACACCTGTTTCTCCTAGACACCTGCTCCCAGACCAGAGACAGCCCAGCTCCCAGGGTCCATCTCTACCTAGACACCTGTTCCCAGACCAGAGACAGCCCAGCTCCCAGGGTCCATCTCTACCTAGACACCTGCTCCCAGACCAGAGACAGCCCAGCTCCCAGGGTCCATCTCTACCTAGACACCTGTTCCCAGACCAGAGACAGCCCAGCTCCCAGGGTCCATCTCTACCTAGACACCTGCTCCCAGACCAGAGACAGCCCAGCTCCCAGGGTCCATCTCTACCTAGACACCTGCTCCCAGACCAGAGACAGCCCAGCTCCCAGGGTCCATCTCTACATAGACACCTGCTCCCAGACCAGCAGCCACACCAGCTCCCAGGGTCCATCTCTACCTAGACACCTGCTCTCAGACCAGAGACAGCCCAGCTCCCAGGGTCCATCTCACCTAGACACCTGCTCTCAGACCAGCAGCCACACCAGCTCCCAGGGTCCATCTCTACCTAGACACCTGCTCCCAGACCAGAGACAGCCCAGCTCCCAGGGTCCATCTCTACCTAGACACCTGCTCTCAGACCAGCAGCCACACCAGCTCCCAGGGTCCATCTCTACCTAGACACCTGCTCCCAGACCAGAGACAGCCCAGCTCCCAGGGTCCATCTCTACCTAGACACCTGCTCCCAGACCAGCAGCCACACCAGCTCCCAGGGTCCATCTCTACCTAGACACCTGCTCCCAGACCAGAGACAGCCCAGCTTCCAGGGTCCATCTCTACCTAGACACCTGCTTCTAGACCAGAGACAGCCCAGCTCCCAGGGTCCATCTCTACCTAGACACCAGCTCCCAGACCAGAGACAGCCCAGCTCCCAGGGTCCATCTCTACCTAGACACCTGTTCCCAGACCAGAGACAGCCCAGCTCCCAGGGTCCATCTCTACCTAGACACCTGCTTCTAGACCAGAGACAGCCCAGCTCCCAGGGTCCATCTCTACCTAGACACCTGCTCCCAGACCAGAGACAGCCCAGCTCCCAGGGTCCATCTCTACCTAGACACCTGCTCCCAGACCAGAGACAGCCCAGCCCCCAGGGTCCATCTCTACCTAGACACCTGCTTCTAGACCAGAGATAGCCCAGCTCCCAGGGTCCATCTCTACCTAGACACCTACTCCCAGACAAGAGACAGCCCAGCTCCCAGGGTCCATCTCTACCTAGACACCTGCTCCCAGACCAGAGACAGCCCAGCTCCCAGGGTCCATCTCTACCTAGACGCCTGCTCCCAGACCAGAGACAGCCCAGCTCCCAGGGTCCATCTCTACCTAGACACCTGCTCCCAGACCAGAAACAGCCCAGCTCCCAGGGTCCATCTCTACCTAGACACCTGTTCCCAGACCAGAGACAGCCCAGCTCCCAGGGTCCATCTCTACCTAGACACCTGCTCCCAGACCAGAGACAGCCCAGCTCCCAGGGTCCATCTCTACCTAGACACCTGCTCCCAGACCAGAGACAGCCCAGCTCCCAGGGTCCATCTCTACCTAGACACCTGCTCTCAGACCAGCAGCCACACCAGCTCCCAGGGTCCATCTCTACCTAGACACCTGCTCCCAGACCAGAGACAGCCCAGCTCCCAGGGTCCATCTCTACCTAGACACCTGCTCCCAGACCAGCAGCCACACCAGCTCCCAGGGTCCATCTCTACCTAGACACCTGCTCCCAGACCAGAGACAGCCCAGCTTCCAGGGTCCATCTCTACCTAGACACCTGCTCCCAGACCAGAGACAGCCCAGCTTCCAGGGTCCATCTCTACCTAGACACCTGCTCCCAGACCAGAGACAGCCCAGCTCCCAGGGTCCATCTCTACATAGACACCTGCTCCCAGACCAGCAGCCACACCAGCTCCCAGGGTCCATCTCTACCTAGGCACCTGCTCCCAGACCAGAGACAGCCCAGCTCCCAGGGTCCATCTCTACCTAGACACCTGCTCCCAGACCAGAGACAGCCCAGCTCCCAGGGTCCATCTCTACCTAGACACCTGCTCCCAGACCAGAGACAGCCCAGCTCCCAGGGTCCATCTCTACCTAGACACCTGCTCCCAGACCAGAAACAGCCCAGCTCCCAGGGTCCATCTCTACCTAGACACCTGTTCCCGGACCAGAGACAGCCCAGCTCCCAGGGTCCATCTCTACCTAGACACCTGCTCCCAGACCAGAGACAGCCCAGCTCCCAGGGTCCATCTCTACCTAGACACCTGCTCCCAGACCAGAGACAGCCCAGCTCCCAGGGTCCATCTCTACCTAGACACCTGCTCTCAGACCAGCAGCCACACCAGCTCCCAGGGTCCATCTCTACCTAGACACCTGCTCCCAGACCAGAGACAGCCCAGCTCCCAGGGTCCATCTCTACCTAGACACCTGCTCCCAGACCAGCAGCCACACCAGCTCCCAGGGTCCATCTCTACCTAGACACCTGCTCCCAGACCAGAGACAGCCCAGCTCCCAGGGTCCATCTCTACCTAGACACCTGCTCTCAGACCAGCAGCCACACCAGCTCCCAGGGTCCATCTCTACCTAGACACCTGCTCCCAGACCAGAGACAGCCCAGCTCCCAGGGTCCATCTCTACCTAGACACCTGCTCCCAGACCAGCAGCCACACCAGCTCCCAGGGTCCATCTCTACCTAGACACCTGCTCCCAGACCAGAGACAGCCCAGCTTCCAGGGTCCATCTCTACCTAGATAGCAGGTTCCTGAGCATCATCCAGGCCCATTCCCAGGGTCCATCTCTACCTAAGCCCCAGGTCCCTGAGCAGCATCGAGGCCACTTTAAGGTCCATCTCTACCTAGGACTCTGGTCCCAGAGCAGCATCCAGGCCCACTCCCAGTGTCCATTTCTACCTGGTAGAGGGTCCCTGAGCAGCATTCAGCTTTGCTAAAAGAACTGTGATGTTTGATTAGGGTCTCACATGTTTAAGAGTGAGGAGTTCTGGGCCTTCCACCCTGCAGTGAGCTGGCCAAACCTCCAAAAAAAGCAAGTGGGCACTGTTAATGCTGCTTGCCCTGTGGTAAGCATCCAACCGGAATTGAATGCCTGGGTATTTATTAAACATGTGGCTTTCTAATTTTAACTTCCATTAAAACAGAGCTGGTGTTCACATGAGCGCCCCACATGCTGTTTTCCTCTGCAGGAATGACAGATCCTGGGCTGGGTTGCCTCCTGCAGTGTGATTAGCAGGGCAACAAAGGCCATGTGTGATGGGTGTTGGGTGCTTTTAGGCAGTAGCCCAGCTTACAGCAAGCGCTCAGTAATGACGGCCTTTGCTTTTACTGCAATGCCAATAGTGAACAGTAGCAGCGGTGTGTATCCCAGAGCAGAGGGCCTCTGGGTTCTGTGCCAGGACTGTGGGCAGCTGGCCAGGGTTAAGAGAGTCTCTGACACAGACTCTTGATTCCTTCGAAGATGGTCTTTGTATTCACAATTCTTTCTCAGGGAGACGGAAGTTGCACTCTGGGATCTGGGGCTGTGGCTCAGCGGCAGAGCACTTGCTTCACACGTATGAGCACTGGGTTCAAGCCTCAGCACCACTTAAAAATAAATAAAGTAAAGGTATTGTGTCCTTCTGCAACTTAAAAAAATATTTAAAAGGAAAGAAAGTTGCACTTGGAGCTTCCTCTCCACACTCTCTTGGCGGTCTCTGGTCCATAACTTAAGGACTATCAACCTCTTTAGCTTACCCTAGATGCCAGGTTTTCTCTTAGAAGTAGGTGACGCTTCCATCTGTGGCAGAGAGAATTTCCTGGCTCTTTCTCCTGATGACAGGAAAGACCCATTGCTAACTGCTAACTAGGACTCTCCGACCTGGCTCTCATGGTCCCAGGTGCCAGGACTCTTCAGTCAGGTCACCTGCTGCTACGTGCAGCAACCCCCACACTCCTGAGCGGTAAGGGAAATAGGCCCCGCCCACTGTGATCCCTGTGAGCTGGGGACACTCTCTGCAGCCTAGAGGGGTCCAGGAGGTCCTGAAGCCTGCACGGGCTGGAGTCCAGGGTGCCTGGCAGCTTCCTCTCGGCCTGAGAGGACGGTGGCCAACCAGGCTGCCTGCTCTTAACGCTGACGGCTTCCCTTCAGTTAGTAGCTACTTCACCAAAACTCAGCTTGTAAATCTGTGGAGACCCAAAACGGCACACGCAGACGGCAGAGTGGCTCTTGGCAGGTGGCAGCCACCCTTCCCTCCTCCCCCCTGGCTTGACTTGCCTTCAGCAAGCAGGTTCCAATTAAGTGCCTGTCACTTGGCACAGGCTGCCACCAACCCCAGTAGCACCAGTGCTCCACCCGCTCTGTTTTGAGAAAACTCAGCACGCACTAGCGGCTCCACATCTTGTTCTTGGTGAACCCAGGATGGGACCTTCAGACCTGAGTCAGCAGCAAGCATCTACTCAGCCCTTCTCCATCCAGCAAGACGCCTCGCAGTGGGAAACGGGGAGCAGCCACCTGGGCCCCCGCTGGTTTAGACCATGTCTTTCCGCGTCAAGGTCCACGACGTGACTTCACGTTCAGCCCAAGTTGATTGTTTCTGAAGTGGTGCTGTCAGGAAGGTGGGAGGTTAGTGAGAAGGGATGGAGGACACTCCTGGGTCCGGTGACAACAGCGTTCCAGAGAGGGCAGGCAAGGGAAGCCAGTGACACTGTCTCCTCAATGCCCACTGTTCTCCTAGCTGCGAAAGAACTAGAATCCTAACTGCACCTTCTGACAGTTGCTGGTCCCTCCGCCACTCCTGCGTGTGGACTCAGTGGTCCCTGGTAGCCGCGCACCTGGGAGAGTGTGTGCGGCTGTTTTGAGTGGCCAGGCAACGTCACAGTGTCATGCCAATGAGGAACATTCAGGGGAGCCTCTGTCAGGTTTTCATGGAATTCTGAATTCCCGAGTGCGGCCTGAGGTGACAATCCCCAGTGACAAGAAAGAATGTTCTACTTTGTGAAATCTGTATACACAAACAACAATAATGCTTTCTTGGAAACCCCAAGAAATGGGCAGGTTTGCCCCTGTGGGGGTCATCTGGGAGGCATGAAGACCCTGCTCTCAGGAAGACTGGCTGGGCAGAGCCACAGGAGAGGTGGACGAGGCCACCCAGAGGCTGACAACACCCACAGGGGACAGAGCCAGCACGTTGTGCTCAGCCTATGGAATGATTCTGCCCTTCACTGGGTGGATGGTCATAGCTACCCCATCCCACCTGGTCAAACAGCTAGTTAAAGTGACCCACTCTGAAACTCAATACGGTAGCATGGATCACAGAACCCACCCCTCAACTGACAAGGCAGGTGCCCTAGGTCACAGGAACCTGAGACTCAGGTGCAGGACAGAACAGAATGATCACCTGTATTTGCAGAGGTGATACGAAAGGCATTCCAATAGGGAGCAGGCCAAGGTGTATCAGAAAGATGGCACCCCGTGGGCTCATCCCGTGGTCCTCACCCTCGGGGGCCTCTCGTCCTCAGGCTGCAGGAAGCTAGGTGGCATTTCAAGATGGAGCAAAACTAGGTGTGGGACACAGCACTGCCTTGCTCATAAGAGGAGAGAGAGGACAAGCCCCTGCTGGCCGGAGAGACAGCACTGGTCAGGAGAGGGCCCAGCAACACTGCCAGCTCCGCAGCTGCTATTCCTGCGACTCATGCCCTTCTCAAGGGGACCCAGGTCCTTCATGGGGCAGGAAAGAAGACACCCTGGCAGAGGGCAGGGCGGAGAGCAGAGGTCGTCTTGATGGCTTTGGGACCTGCCCCAGGGACAGGAGTCTCCACTCTGCACTGGGCCCCCTCCCTCCCCGCTGGCTCCCTGCTCCAGGGGACCCAGGCACAGTGCAGCCAGAAGGAGCGGTGGTAGGTGTGGGCTGAACTGTGCATCCACAGTGGAGTTGCAGTGTCAGACCCTGCCAGGGCTCCAGAGTGACAGGCACTGGCGAGAAGCCTTGGTCCAGACAGTTTTCAAGACAGTGGAGCATTTCTGAACACCCACCTGGGCGCCTGGCTGTCTGGCTGGCATGTCCAGGCTTGTCCGCCCTCAGCTGGATCTCCCTCCCTGGCCTTCGGGCAAACCCAGGCTCCCCAGCCTGCTCCAGCCTGCTCCCCAGCCCAGGCCCAAGACTGTCCTTCCTGGCCTCAGGCCCCAGCCCGCCCTCCCAGCACCCTCCAGGAGTCCAGCGGCCTGTCAGGGAGCTCAGGGTGAAGCCAGAGGAGTGTGACACAGGGACACAGAGCAGCAACACTCGCGCTTTCTGTCTTAGGTAGACCCTGACTCCTCTGCCCTGGCGTTCCTCAGTGGACACCTAGGGACATGAGCTGACGTGCTGTTTGAAGAGCTTCGTTGACCTAGCTGCCAGCACAGTGCAACAGTCCCAGAAGCTGGGGTGAACAGGACCCTCACAGCCCCCACAACAGTGCAGCAGGAGGCCACCAAGGGAGAGGCCATGTCCCCCCTCAGCTGTGTGTGTGTGTTGGGCAGCAGAGACAGAAGAAGGGACAGAGACAGGAGGGGAGCAGGGGACAGAGACAGGAGGAGGAACAGAGACAGGAGGGGAGCAGGGGACAGAGACAGGAGGAGGAGCAGGGGACAGAGACAGGAGGGGGATCGGGGGACAGAGACAGGAGGGGAGCAGGGGACAGAGACAGGAGGAGGAACAGAGACAGGAGGGGAGCAGGGGACAGAGACAGGAGGAGGAGCAGGGGACAAAGACAGGAGGGGGATCGGGGGACAGAGACAGAAGAAGGGACAGAGACAGGAGGGGAGCAGGGGACAGAGACAGAAGAAGGGACAGAGACAGGAGGGGAGCAGGGGACAGAGACAGGAGGGGGAGCAGGGGACAGAGACAGGAGAGGAGCAGGGGACAGAGACAGGAGGGGGATCGGGGGACAGAGACAGGAAGGGAGCAGGGGACATAAGCAGGAGGGGAGCATATGAACAGAAACTGAGGCACAGCTACAGGAGCGAGCGCAGAGGGACAGAGAAGCAAGAGGGGTAGACGGGTTTGAGGGGTGACAATGTAGGCATCAGTTGGTGGGTCAAGAAGGAGGGGAGTGAGGGGATAGGCCAGAGGGGAGTTGGGAGCGGTGGCGGGGGCAGGAGGCCACTGGGCACCCTGCAGGGTGGAGGGATCTGGGCTCAGCTCTGATGCGGGCCTGGGGGACTTGTGAGTGTAATGACAGTCCTGGGCACGGCACTGAGATGAGTCCTGGGCAGCTGGAGGCCTGTGGCTGAGAGCAAGGGGCCTGAGCCCCAGAGCTCTGCTCCACATGCCGTGGCACAGGGCGGGCAGGAAGACGGGCAGGAGGGGTGGCCAGAGCAGCTGGCAGGTGCCCATGGGCGCTGCCCCCCTCCCAGCTCTGACTCTGTCTTCTTGCTGTGTCCCAGGGAGACTCAGCCCCACCCATCAGTGTCACTGGCAAGCACTCCCAAGTGCACACGCATGTTAGTGGGTGCACAACAACGTGAGGGGGGACCCAGGGTGTATGAGTACATGGAGGTGACAGGCCACTTATCAAAGTCGCGGTCCATCCCGTGGAGAGATGCCCCTGTGGAAGAGCTGACCTGTTCATGCTGATATCAGCCCCTTGCCCTAGCAGAGCACTGGCCTGAGCTCCCAGCCCCATTCCAGCTCCTCAGGCCTCAAAGTCCCCGCTGCACCTCCCCATCCCCTCAGCGCTTTGGACTTCCACTTAACTGTCCAGATCTGACCCAGGGACATGGACAAGCATCCATCAGGGTACCTCGGAAGGAGCGTGTCTTCCCCAGCTGTCTCCAAAGCAGAGCCCCGGGACTGAGCTGAGGGTGCAGCCCATGAACCCCCAAACCCACACCCCACCTTCTCGGGCCAGCACAGTGCTTCTCTGAGCACAGTGGGAAGACTGATGTGGACAGGGAGCATGGCTCAGGATGGAGCACTTGCCTGGCATGCTCAGGGCTCTGGGTTTGATCCTTAGCATCAGAGAGACAGAAAGAGATCACAGTCTGCAAAATTATCGCTTATCTTTAAACCATCAAAGGAAGTCAACATGTAGCACCTCAAGCTAAGGGGGGAAGCCTGGGGGTGCGGTTGAGATGACCTGTTCCATGCAGACCCCCGGAGGATGCGTCCCGCTCACCTGCACTGGCTCACACTGTGGCGACGAGGCGGGTGGAGGGGCTGTGCCCCTGGTGACGCGTTTCCCTGACAACGAGAGCAACCTCTACCCTGAGACAGCACTAAGGCAGCTTGTACTGGGGTGTGGTCTGGCTGCACAGCCCCAACCCAGAGCTGCCTGGGCAGAGTGGCTCGGAAGGGCGACAGGTTGTTGGAAACGAGGAGGGGTGAGCAGTTTGAATGCCAGCTTTGTGCCAGGCACCGTGTGAGATTTGCAGGTGCCCTGCTCTGGGTCTTCCTGCCAATCCACAGCCCACAGCCCAGCCTGACTGTGGGTCCACAGAATCTCATCATCTTCTGGAACTGGCTATGCATCTTCATGTTTTTGTAAGAAATAACTCAATAAATTGTTTCCCAAGCTTAACAGATTTCCAATGCTGATTTCAAATTAGCTGTGCTGAAAATATAAGACCGTAGGTGAATGTCGTGGGATGAATCCTTGTCTTCCTGATTCTTGTGTAATGTGGTTGGGATAACCCTGCTGGATTCAGGTATCAAATGTGCTGTTGATTGTTCTAGATGAGTGAAGCAGAGATCAATGGGCAGTTCGAGTCGGTGTGTGAATCCGTCTTTAGTGAAGTTGAATCTCAGGCCATGGATGCCCTCGACCTGCCCGGATGTTTCCGAACAAGGAGTCACAGTTACCTTCGAGCCATCCAAGCTGGTTACTCCCAGGATGATGAATGTGTCCCCGGGACAACGCCCTCCAACATGACATCCACCATCAGGTCAACAACAGGTAAAGAGCACCCTTCCTGACTCCCCAGCAGGAAGCCTGCAGGTGTGCCCAGCCTGTCCCCAGGAGTGGTGCATCTTCCCACAGGCGCCCTTCACTCTTCAGGCGTTTGGTACTTTTCCAAATTGCATGTGTTACAAAGTCACATTTGCAATAATAGTTTTGAAGCATTTTTTTCATGGATAGCCTTTATTTTTTCTCAGAATGAAATCTATAAATTAGCAAGTTCTTTAAAATAATTAAGTATAATTTTTGTAAAGTTTTGTACAAGGGAAAGAGGTTAAGTGCTGACATTTGGAAGGTGGTTGCATTTTAAATATAGAAGCTAAATAGACTGCAGTGAGATTCAGCAGACATGCAAGGCCTCGGGGGCCCCTGCGGTGCAGTGTCCAACTCAATCTCTGCCACTCGGGGCAGCAGATCCATCAACATGATTCATCGCTGTAAAGCCAATCAATGGTTAATGTAAATTCCCTAATTGTCTTAGGACGTGAAGGATTCAGTGTCACGATTTCCTTCAGTGCTCATGGAAAACCATATCTACCCCTTTGAAGATTTACCACCTAAAACCAAGTATCACTGCACCATTATTATTTATGTAAGGATGAATATGCATGGCCTGGGGAGGCCATAAAACAGCTGGCTGCTCTGCCTGAGAAGGCAGAGAGGAGGAGCACCAAACACCGCGGCGCCCCCGGCGAGCTCCCCTGCTGTTGGGGGGTTGGAACGCCACCGCCGTACCAGAGGGGTTTGAAGAACAGTTCCAAGGAGAGAGAACAGATTCTGTCACAATAAAGTGAGAAAAAATGGGAGTGGGGGAGGAACAGGGGCTGAGAAGGGTGAGTCATGACGCTCATGGCAGCCGGGCTGCGTCACTGCCAGGCGAGCGGGGACCTGGGGACAGCGGCTGCAGAAACCCAAGCTGAGTGCTCAGGCCTTCCTCACCTTGGAGAGGGGTTTGGGTGGAGCCTGTGGATGGACAGACCTCACCTCCCATGGCCCTGCCCGGCCCTGGGTCCTGACCCTTCCCAACTGCCCAGCACGGCCGTGGCCTAGAAGTGCCGGGAACAACACTGATCTGGAGAAAATGGCTTCACTCCTGGGGGCCATCATTGTGGAGAGAGAGCCACAGGACAGATTTCACAGAATAACCCAGGAACAGCGCCCGACTCAGGCTAGAATTCTGATTTACATACACTCTATTTTGTCTTTACCACACACATTACATATTCTAAGAACTCAACAAACCAAATACATTTTTAAAACCCTTCTGTCCAAATCTTGGCCTAGTTCTGAGTCAAATCCCCTCTAGACGGCGGCGGAGCGTCAGAGTCGGGCCACGGCCTGGAGCTGGACAAGCAGAGCAGAGAGAAGCCGGGCAGAATCGAGGCGCCGTGGGGCGGCAGCCTCCAGCAGCCCTGCCTGCCTCCGGCTAGCCATCTGCCTCTCCAAATACAAGTTAGACCTCGTGAGCCCGATCCGTTTAATACGGTCACAAGAGCCCAAAGAAACAAAAAGCCCCATCTGGAAAAACAAAAGGGTAGAGAAAATTATCAAAACACTCAGGATGTGAATGCCTAAGCGATTACTGATAGTTGAACTTCCAATTTGATCCAGAGCTTCCTGTCAGGGGGCAAGAGGGTTTTCGTTATTTTGTACTTAAATACTTCTTACTTTTGTAAGTATTTACACTAACACTGACACTTAATAGCTGTCCTTTGTTGGGGTATGTGGGTGTGTAGAAAGAGACTGTTTTGGCAAATTGATTTTCTTTTATGGTTCTAAAACCTGCTCTTGAAAGCAAATCCAAAAGGGTTATTTTCAGAAGCATCCCAAAGTGATCGGTTTTTGTTTGTTTGTTTTTTAGTTGTAGTTGGACACAATACTTTTATTTTCTTTATTTTTATGTGGTGTTGAGGATTGAACCCAGAGCCTCACACGTGCTAGGTGAGCGCTCTACTGCTGAGCCACATCCCCAGCCCCCAAAGGGATTGTTTTGAGGAATAAGATTCATTTAGGCAAAATTCTTTATGCAGGTTGAAACATAATACGTGATTATTGGCTTGCCCCGCCTTGTGAACAGGTGATGTGGTTTTAAGGCCCCTGTAGTACCTAGACATCAGGGTGTTCTCGCCATGGAAACACGGGGACTGGAGGGTGTGTCGGGCGTGTCCTTCCAGTGCTGCCCGACGGCTCCCGGCCTTGGAGGAGCTTGGCCCGGCCGAAGGGCACCCAGGCTGGTGGAGATGCAGCGTGTGCTGGACACCCCACCCACTGCCCCTCGTAGGAAATGCCTGTGTGTGAGCGAGTGTCCTCTGCTGGGCAGATCCGAGAGCATCTGGCCCTCATTTCACACCTGGTTTCTTTTTCATCTGCGAAATGATTTATCCGGCAGGTTTTCTGGTCTGACTTTGCATCTCACCTGATTTTCCTAGGGAAGGAATATTATTGATGCTGTGCAGGAAAATGGCCTGAAATTAGATCACAGGGACTTTTCTCTGGGCCTCAGACCGTCTCGACATAAGTCACAGCTGCCTCTAGACAGCGTCACGGCAGAGGGGAGCCGGGCAAAGGTGGCGGGGAGCCCGTAATGATTCTGGGGTCTGTGATGGCTGTTTCCAAGGTGGGTTTTTGCTAGCACAGGAGAAAGCTGCTCTGTCGTTGGGTGCCTTGAGATGAGCACATTTCAATACCGTGGGTTTGTTTCTGTCTTTGAGTTTTGCTTCTCCATTTGAAGAAGTGGCTGCGTCTAGCCCCCCCTGGGGCCTTCTTGGTCTCACCACAAGGCCTCATTTCCGGAGGTGGGAGAGTCCGTCGGGAGCTGAACCCAAGCTCCTTCAGTGACCTGGCCGGTTTGGCCAGATTGCCCTGCAACCAATGTGCATGTTTACCCACAAAGATAGCAGACAGTTTTTGAAACTGGGATTTGAAAAAGTAGAGAGTACAAATTAAAAACCCAGATGTGGACATCAAATGGGCTGTTCATAAAGTGTCTTGGTTACTGGAGTGAAGGTGATCTAAAGTCATAACCTCGGGCCGCGAGGGCAGAGAGCGACATGCAGGGTGCAGGCCTCACTTTGTCTACACAACGCACATCTGGTGTGTATGGGGTGGGCGCTCGTAAGTGAATGAAGAGTCTCCGCTGACGCTGGCCAAGCGTGAACATTCAGACACGGAACCACGGACACCCATTTTCTTCTTGGCAAATCAAGCTGATCCAAGTCCACTCTGGGGCTGTGGAACCGCCCAGTCCTGGCTGCCAGTCGCCGGGAGAGGCCACAGCCCATGCCACCTGCTCTCTTTGCCATCCCACCACCAGACCTAGTGCCAAGCCACGTCTCCTGCCAGCGCCACACCAGAAACCCGTGTGTGACTCAAAGAAACTACAAGCACTGCTCCATGTGGAGTCAGTCTACAGTGGTCGCCGGGGCGACTGCTAGCTCTTCTCAAGCCAGGCCTGCTTGAGGTTCCAGGAACCCCAAGGAGCTTCCAACAGAGCTTGGTCCTGAAATAAAGCCAGCTGAGATGTGTCCCCAAGACCCCAGCCTAGAGTCCTGGCTGCAGGGCTGTCCATGACCAGGACTGTCACCATGGAGCGAGCCCACAGGCACAGTAGAGGCAGCGTGAGGAGCAAAGGACAAGCCCCACCACCAGAGGACCTGGGAGAGGCCTGCACGGTGGGGAGAGGGCGCTGGCTTCCCCGCCCGGAGGGTGGGCCATCAGAGTAGGGACGCTCAGGGATGTTCAGCTGTCACCAGCAAGAACCGAGCCCCACCTTCGTACTGTCTCCTCACATGGTGACGGGTGGCAGCTCCCAGGGCTTCTCCAGGAGTCACTGATGCCACCAAGAGGCTGCACCCCATGGTCTCAGCAAGCCCAGAGCCCCCACTGAGTGAGGACCCCAGCCCATGCCCTTGGGGGGGACCAGACGCTCAGACGTAGCTACCTGCTGAGTTTTCCACGTTGACAGGTGCGAGTATCACACAACTGGCTTTTCCATCCTGTGCATTTCATTTTCCTATTTAAAGTGCGGTTTTGAGGAGGAGAGTGCAGGCGGACTCAGAATACCCAGGGGTCTGTGGGCCAGCTCTGATCACCTGTGACTGAGATGTGCAAGATAATACATGGATTTATTTCCTTTAAGCCAACTTAACTCCAAGTCTAAGTCCCAACCCCTCCTGCCCAATGTACTAGGAAATTCAACCTCCATCACTTGGGACATGCCCAGGGCCAGGCCAACACCAGGAACCCCAGGAAGCCCCTGGCCATACAGCACTGTCCAACTGGCTGCCCTAGGCTCTCCATGTCCCTGTGTGGGACCCCTCCTGGGTCTGCCGAGGGGCAGGTGTCCCAGGCCCCTCCCCACAGACCCCTGGGCCCTGCTGCCGCTGCCCCACGGACTTCCTTCTCTCTGTCTGCCCTTCTCTCTGTCTTCTCTCTGTCAATCTCCCTGCTGAGCTGGCTCTCCCAGGAGTCAAGGCAACTTTGCCAAGAGAGAGGCTGTCCTGGGCTTGACTTTCCCCAGCAAGACCTCCGCCAAGAAGGACCCCTGAGCCCCTGGAAGATGGAAGCAAGCCTTGGGGAAACACAGATGACACTCAGAGAATCAGCGGGCCTGAGGTCGAGGGCGAGCTTCCCAGAACAGCAGTGACTGTCCAGGTGACCCTGCTCAGGGGGCAGCTGCTGACACCAGCTCCACCGAGGTCACAGGTGGAAATCCCAGCCCATTGACCCTGCCAGGCCTGGCTCGAATGCTCTGGAAAGCACAGGCGACTTAGGAGTATAAACAGACTTGAACCACTGCCCTTCTCTAAACCTCAGATGTCCCAATGTCAGCATACGTCTGAAAAATATGTTTTTAAGTGAGGAAAATCTAATGTCCCTCTCCCCTCAGAGCCCCAGAGCTGCTGAGACCGTGCCGAGGGAGCACACGCTATCTATGATTGGTTTTCAGCAGGGGGACCAGCCAAGGCAGAGTCGGCGGAGCCAATTTAATGTCCCCA